AGTTAAGCTAGCAACTTTAAGTGGGCAGGAAATACGCCAGATGCCTTCTTTTTCTTCTCAGCCCTTTCTTGGGAAGGGGGATCTATGTAGTCAAGGCCAAACCCTTACCCTGCCTCTCCGTAACCCCTACCCCTTGGCTTCCACTTCGGTCTTAACCAGCCTTAAAATACGCTGGGCCTCTTCGAAACTCCCGACGGAGGTGTGGGAAAACAGGAAGCACCTTCACGTCATTACACTGAGCGGGTCACCCACCCCAGTATCAACCGAGCGGGCCACTGGGCAGAGGGCGGCTCGGCCAGCGGGAGAGGGAGGGGGGCAACGAGGCCGCGCGGGGCTCGGGGCCGGCGCGATCGCTCCTCCCTGCGACACCCGCGGGGAGAAGGCCGCCCAAGTGCGGAGGGAAGAGGTGGCGGGCGAGCGGGCGAGTCCTTCCCTGCAAGGCTGGCTCATCAGCGGGGACTCCGCCCGTAGCGCCCGCCTCGCCGGAGCCCAGGTCAGGGATCTACCGGAGGGGAGAGGGCGGCCCCAGGGCCCTTCCAGGCCTACCTTCCCCGACTCCCTGGGCTCCATGGCCCCGCTTGCGGTGGCCGGTGCTGACCCCGCCACTGCCTCCAGTCCGCCCCCTCCCCCCGCGGCCTGGCCTGAGGATGCCGCCGCCGCGACCACCTTGGGGACCCGGGCCCCCGGAGGGCAGGGCGCCCGGACGGGGAGGGAGCACGGCCGGGAACTTGCTCTCCCTCGTCGGGAGAGCGGGAGCGCTCCCTGTGCCGGCAGAGGCGAGCGGCGGGGACTAGCGCCGTACCGAGCGAACCGCTTTACGGCAGCCGCTTGGCCCTACACGGCGGGGCATCACGGGAAGCGTAGTCCCGCCTAGTTAAGCGGCTCTCAAACAGCTATTGGTTCCCGAAATGCTGGGCCCTGATTGGGCGCCGAGCAGCTCGCTCTCCGCCCTTCCCGCCTCGCTGGAGGGCGGTGGTTATTAGGTAGCTCCCGCACCACGCTCTCCCAGACCCTGCATTGAGGGCAAACCGTTCTCTTTGGGCTGTGAGAATGCCTGTTCTTGCGTCTGTTCCCTCTCACTTTTAGGGCCAGCGTCAGCCTTGAAGGTTTCAGATTTTATTTAATCTAGGAGGGAATTTTTTTTTTTTTTTTTTTTTTTAACATTCATTCAAAAAGCATCATTGGTTGCCTGCCCCGTGCCAGGCACTGTGCGAGGTTTGGGAATGCACAGCTGAATGAAACAAAACTTTGCCTTCGAGGAGCTTATAGTCTATTGGGGAAACTGACCAGAAACAGATAACTATAAAATAAAGACACAAGTGCAAGGAAAGAGGTAAGCACAAGACCCCACTAACGCACACTTTGTCACTGTCTAGAGTATGGTGGTGGGAATCTACGGGATGGTTAGTCAAGGATTTCCTGAGGAAATGGCACCTGAACTGAATTAAGGGGTAGGCGGTAGCGAGGTGAAGTGCTATGGATGGAATTGTGTACCCCCAAATTTGTATGTAACCCCTATGTGATGTTATTTAGATGTGGAGCCTTTGGGAGGTAGTTAGGTTCAGACGAGATCATGAGGATGGGGTTCTCATGATGGGATTAGTGTCTTTACAAGAAGAGACACAGGAGAGCTTGCTGTCTCTCTCTGCCATATGAGGAAACAGCGAGAAGGCAGCTGTCTGTAAGCCAGGAAGAGAGTCCCCACCAGAACCCAGCCATGCTGGCATCTTGGTCTTGAACTCCCATTCTCCAGAACTGTGAGAAAATAAATGTCTGTTGTTTAAGCCACCCGGTCTATGGTATTTTGTTATGGTAGCCTGAGTTAACTAAAACAGGAGGGGGAGAAAGGTGTTGCAAAGAGGGCAGTTGGCCACAAGAAATAGCATAAGCAAAGCCAGACAGCTGAGCAAATGGTGTGAGCAGGGATGGTGTGAGACAGGAAATTATGGGAAATGGCACTGGAGAGATACTTGGGGGCTGGATGTGGAAGGCAGTGTATGCTCCCTTAGGGCGTTTGAAATGAGTTTTAAGCCAGTGAATGTTGTGGGCAAATTTGCACTTTAGTTGGATCAGTCCTACTGCAGAGTAGAGGGTGAATTTAAGGAGGAAAGAAAGAAGACCAAACTCTATAAAAATATACTTGCTCTTTCTTCTCTGATCTTCTTTAAAAGACATGAAAGAAGACTTCACCTGCCTCCATTTTGACCTCAGTTTGTACTTCCTAACTGATTCAGTTCTTTCCAGCTCATGTCTTAACTCAGGCAAAGCATTCTGTGATGGGAACCAAGACTGTCCCCTTGGGCAGTAACCACTGCCCTGAGCCAGCAAGACCCCACATGACTGACCTCAAGACACCGATCAACCTGACCTTTCCTGCCCACCTGCATGTGCTCATCAACTTTTGTCCCACATTTGCCTTCTATAAACTTAGAAGTATTTTCAGCACTTTGGAGATAGTCTTTGAGACATTAGTCTGCTGTCTTCCTGCTGCTGGCCTCACTGAAATAAATTCCTTTCTCTTTTCACCACCGCTCGTCTCTCTGTCTTTGGATTTTGTCTGCAGTGAGTGGCTGAACCTGGTCTGTTTGGGACCCCCGGAGCCAGAAAATGACAGAAAATAAGGAAGTGATTATTATAAAGGTGTTGGTAAAATTAACTATAAAAATGTTTGATGTACTTTTACATGTGTGCGTTTTAAGTCACAATTCAAAGTTTTAAATAAAAAAATCAAGCAAACATAGTTTATGTTTAAAATTTTTATTAATACATATTGCCATACTGATTGTTAAATATTTTGATTATCACCCCTGAGCAGGTCCCAAGTAACCATTTTCCATTATACTATACGACTCTGCTCTTCTAGCCAGGGTTGAATAGAGCTAAACTCAGCAGGGGTCAATGGGAATACCTTTTCTAGAAATGTGAGAGCATTCAATCCATGTGAATAGAACTGTAATATTTGACCTCAGCTCAGGCTGCCATAACAACATAGAGAAATTTACTTTCCCAGAGTTCTGGAGACTGGAAGTCTCCAGTTGGTTGTTTCTGGTGAGATTTCTCTTCCTGGCTTGCAGGTGGTACCGCCTCGCTGTGTCCTCATATGACCTATTTTCTGTGTGTTCTCAGGGAGAGAGAGAGAGAGAGAATGAGCTCTCTGGTGTCTCTTCTTCTAAGGACGCTAATCCTATCAGCCTCCTGACCTCATTTAACCTTAATTACCTCTGTATGGGCCCTATTTCCAAATATAGTCACATTGGGGTTTAGGGCCTCAACAGAGGAGTTTGGGAGGGATACAATTCAGTTCGTAGCTTTGTGTGCTTTAAGCAGCCTCCCTCTGGCCAGGTGCAGTCACTGGTAGGGGAGTCTGTGCTTCTGAGAAAGAAAAATGAGACAGCTGCACAGAAATGAGATCGAAGACTCCAGGTGGCCTTCTAACCTCCAGCTCCCAGCTCAGTCATAGCTATCCCTCTCTGTATGTACCTCAGAGAGCTGTATTTCTGCCCGTGAGTTATCCCTGTCTCCTTATAACAAATTCTTGTTTGGGGGGTTAAACACTGGAGGTGAGGTGGTTGAGACAGCTAGGGTTGGTAACTGAAAGAGTTTCTTCATGAAAAGGTATAGAAAGATGGGACAGTATCTGGAGGGAAATGTGGGGTCAAGAGAGGAGGCTAAGATGGGAGACACGGGATCGTGTTTCTGTTGATGGGAAGGGAAGTGATGGTTAAGCCCAGGTGGGGCAATGCAAGGACCCAAGACCTTGAGGAGGCAAGAGGAGCCAGGACCATAGTACCAAGGGCCCTTTCCAGAGGTAGGGATACTTCTAGATGACACCACGAGGGAAGAAGGAGAAGATGGAGCGGATGTCGGTTTGTTTTGTTATAGATTTGCTATAGACTTCCCCATCTGATGACATCTCTGTGGGACAAGGTCATCTCATGAAAATGTAGGGGAGGGGGAAGAGAAGGCATGTATAGTCATTGCAGAGAACAGGAAATAGAGTTTATAGGGAAACAGAAGAGGTAGGATGATCAAATTGAATTAAAGGCCTGTTTGAGGTTTGTGATCACAAATTTAAGGTAAAAACAGCCTATCTGCAAAATTCTGTCTAGAAGCAGAAACTTAGGCAGATTTTTGAGTTGGAATATTGCCAGGTGGGGATGAATGGAGATAGAAAAGTGAGGGATTTAACGGTACTTGCATTGGAGAGATTTATAATGACAGAAAGGTGGTTCTCAGTTCCAGCTAGGTGCACATGGAATTACCCACGAGGCTTCCAAAGAATCTGATTTAATGGGCTCAGGATGGGGTCTGGGCATTGGTAGGGTTTCAAAAGCTCCTCGGGTGATTCTAATGTGCAGTTGGTGCTGAGAATCACCATGCAGACCGTGACTCCTGAGGGGAGACAGGAGGGAGCTAATGAAAAGTGAGAACCCGGTGGGCTCAATGAATTTGAAATAAATTATAGCAGTGGGGTACTAGAGCACATAAGCTGGAAGGATGGGAAGTCATGATCAGTAAGCAAATATTTGAAAGTGTTTGAAAACGGCTGAGTTTGTGGAGTGAAGGGGAAGGTCACTGTACATAAAGGGGTGAGAACTGAATGGATTATCCACGTGGAGTGTCCACGACAAGGAGTAGGACCCACCAGCTGAACTCTTCTCTGGATGAGGGGAAATGGCAGTTGGAAGCAGGAGAGGGTGGTGGAGCTGGGCAGCACCAGCTAGACTGGAAGAGGGCTCTTTGCGGGACGAAGGGGCAGAACTGGCCAGCAGAAGCCATGCACCAGAGAACTTCAGACTTTATGTGCAACCTGCTGATGTGGAAACTGAGGCACATACATGGGAAGTGACTCGCCCAAGTTCACCAGCATGGCAGATTAACAGAAGCCTCCCGGAGACAGTCCTTGTGCGGGTCGAGATCAGGGCTCAGACCCACTCTGCCCCCCTTACCCCCTTGTCCCCAGAGGCAGACTCTGCACACGGGCTTGTTGCCAGTGTCACTTTATTTGGGAGATGCTGGTACCAGGGCATGGAGTGGGCGGGTCGGCACGGGAGGAGGGGGTCAGTGCCTCCGAGCCCGGTGATGACATGAGGGGTGGAGGCAGCCTCGTGCAGCGGAGCCATCAGTGCTTTGAGAAGTCACCTCCTGGAGGACCAATGAGCGGGAGAGGCACTAGCAAGGAGGCAGTGGTCAGGCCCGGAAGGGATGGGCAGCGGCGCAAACTGGCAGGAGAGGGAGACCCGCCAGGAGGAAGGCCAGAGAAAGGCCCGCTCTAGCCCTGCGCTCCGTCCAGGCGGTACCAGTGTCCCTGCACCTGTTTCTCTCACTTGCCACAGTGTGGCCTCGGGTACCTAACGAGAACCAGGCACCTGGCAGGCGCTTCACACGTGCGCTCTCACTAAGCCCTCCCAACAAGCCCGTGCACATTGTCAGCCAGGCGGTGAGGCTGAGGTCACGGACGCTGAGCAAGGAAGGAAAGAGAAGGGCTGCTATGAAGCAGCTCTGACTGACTCCAAACCCCCAAGCGTGCGTATGATTGGAGAGGAACCCAACAAGAGAGCCAAGAAGCGGGACGGAGCGGGTCAGAAGGGGTCAAGAAGGCAGAATCCCGCGGGGGCCTGCGAGTTGGGAAACGGGCCGCCTTTCGGAAGGCCTG